AAATTTCTATTAGTATTTGGTTGYATTTATAGATTTTTAAATTTTTGTTTCAAGTTATTTATCCATGTACTAGTACCATATTGCACGTTTAACTTTTTTGTTTGGAAATTTTCAAATATGTAAAAAAGTGAGAGAAAATAGTACAATGAGTATACCCATAATTCAGTTTCAACAATCATCAATTTTCTTCCATTCTTGTATTTTTTTCTAGGGATGATTTTTGTTGTTGTTGTTGTTGTTGTTGTTTGGCTGTTTGTTTGGTTTTTGTGTTTTTTGTTTTTAGTACCCTGGATTGAACTCAGAGGCATTTGGCCACTGAGCCACATCCCCAGCCCTATTTTGTATTTTATTTAGAGACAGGGTCTTACTGAGTTGCTTAGTGCCTCACTTTTGCTGARGCTGGCCTTGAACTCATGATCCTCCAGCCTCAGCCTCCAGAGCTGCTGGAATTACAGGTGTGTGCCACCATGCTCAGCTCTAGTCTAGAGACTGAGCCCAGCACCTCTCACATGCTAAGCGCTTGCTTCAGCCCTGAGCTACACCCCCTACCCTAGAGTATTTTAAAGTAAATCATTTTACCTACAATTACTTTATTGTCTAACAGCTAAGGACCTTTTTTAAATGTGATCATGATGTCTCTATCATAACTCTGATGGAGAGAATTTTGGCCTCTCAACAATGTTCCCAAAACCTGTGAATTAATTACATAATATAATAATAGGGACTTTGCAGATGTGGCTAAAGATCTTAAGATGGGGAGAGTATCCTGGGCTATCCAGGTAGGACCAATGCAATGCCAAGTTCTATAGCACCCAGGGAGTCAGAGTCAGAGAAGGAGATGTAACTATAGAAACAAAGGTCGGAGTGAAGTGGGGCGAGGAACTGAGAAAGGCAGGCAGCCTCCAGAAGCTGGAAAAGGTGCCTGGTGTGGTGGTATACACCTATAATCCTCCACGCTTGGGAGGCCGAGGCAGGAGGATTGCAAGTTCCAAGTCAGCCTTGACAATTTAGCAAGACCAAAATTTAAAATATTTTTTTTTTTTAATTTTTTTTTAATATTTATTTCCTAGTTCTCGGCGGACACAACATCTCTGTTGGTATGTGGTGCTGAGGATAGAACCCAGGCCGCACGCATGCCAGGCGAGCGCGCTACCGCTTGAGCCACATCCCCAGCCCCCAAAATTTAAAATATTTTATCTCAAAATAAAAAAACTTTATGCACTGGGGAGTAGGTCAATGATAGAATGCCTCTGGGTTCAATCCGTGGAACTGCAAAAAGAAAAAGAAAAATCACCTTGAAAAGGCAAGGAAACAGATTCTCCCCTGGAGCCTCTCCAAGGATCACAGTTCTGCCTAGACCTTGACTCTAGTCGAGTGTCTGTATTTCAGACTTCAGTGCTCCAGGGCTGTATGGAAATAAATTTGTGCTGTTCTAAGTCATTATATTGTGGTAATTTGTTATGAAAATAATAGGAAACCAAATAGATTAATAAAATAAGCAATAACTTACTGTCCAGATCATGCTCAATTCCTCCCAAATACTTCTAAACTCTCTTTTCTGAGACAGTATTTGTACATCTTTATGGGATATGCTATGGTAATTCAATGCACATAACTCAGCAGGGTTTGCCAGGCTGGGAAAYGAAATACAGCGTGCCCAGTGAAATTTGAATTTCAGATCAATAATGAATCACATTTTACGATAAGTGTGCTCCAAGCAATATTAGGGTACATAGCTATATAGTCAAATGCCACATAACGACCTTTCAGTGTCCCACAAAATTATATCACCCAGTGCCAGGGCAGCCACCTTAGTTTGTGTAAGCAGTCTATGATGTTCACACCTGGACCGGATCACCAGCTTTTCAGAATGTGTCCCTGTCATTAAGCAACAGATGACTCTGCTATAAAATGATGCATTGTTTATCTGAAATCAAATTTAACTGGGAGACAATGTTTTATCTGAATCTGCCTTGATCCTGCTGGAGCCAAAAACCAGTTTCCAGAATCCACTGATCTGCCCCAAAGCTAGTGATCCGAGCTGATTGGGAAGAGAGGGGAGGAGGGTCTAGGAACAAAAATGATAAGAAAGAAAAGAGAGGAGCTTTGGAAATGACCTTATGAGGGCCTGAAGCTGGAAGGAGCTGGTGATTTTTAATCTAATCATCTCTGGTCACCATAGAAACCAGCTGTAAAGTCAGCCAGGAGCTGGTGAGCCCTTATCCACTGCCCCCCTGCCTTTCTGCCAGTGCAGATGGTCCACACAGTCTACCTTTGTCAGGCTTGATTCACATCTCAGTTTCTCTCCCAGGACCTAATGCAGCTAGCTCTCTTCCTCCTAAGCCCCGTGCTGCCCTTTCCAGCACATTCTCAAAGTGCCACCCTTCAATGTCAGCCTTCGGGGAGAGGGGAGAGGGTCAAGGGACACTCAGGTCCTGCCCAAGAGAGGGTCACATCCTAGCCAGGGGACAGGCCACACAGGAGCCCAAGAATATTCAGCAAAAACATGTTTAAAACAAAACAAAATCGTGTCTCACCTGGCCTGACTGCACAAGTATCTCTGTCCTTCCCAGGGCAAAGTAATTCTCTCCTAATGTGATTAAATTGATTAGGAAAATGTTCTATCTTTCAGACATGTCAAGAGCTAGCAGGGAGTAAGCTTTGAATACAAAAGTAGGGCTTGCAGTGAGCATTTTATTTGATTCTGAAAATTATAGGCTCTTTGAAGGTGGCATGCAAATTTGTTTAAAATGTCCCCAATTTGGGAAACAAGGCCAGAAGACAGTAGTAAGCTCAACACAAAGCACAGGAAGCACTTTTGAGGTCAGGAGGCCAAAACTTCCACCCTCAGGTCACCATTTTCTGCATGTGTCCCATGAGGAGCAATGAAGTTTAATTAAGTATGTGAGGACCACTGATAACCCCACCTCCAATCATCTTTCCCCATGCCTCAGATCATCTGCTACTCTTTCCTCAAAGTACCCCCAAACCATAACCTCCAGGAGGTAGGTTTGATGCTTGGATCTCCTACCTTCAGTTTGGCTGCCTTGTGAATAAATTCATTCTCCCCTGCAAAATCACTGTTTCAGTGATTGGCAAAACAGGTATAGTTTGGTAACAGCTGCCCGGAATACTGAAGCCACAGAGGTCAAGGTCTTGGCACAGGACTGACACAGACTAGGAGACACCTGATAGGAGATAGTTTTGATTGCCACTGTTACCCCTTATTTTCCTCCCCCAACTCTGTCCTTTATACTTTGTCACAGGGCTGCGTGATTAATGGAAGCTCACTCAGTCCTCCGCTAAATCCCTAAGTCCCAGAGAGCAGCAATCTGCTGGCTATTCTTCAGGACCCTATACCTGGCTCTGGGCTTTATACTTAGTGGGCACAATAAGTATTTACCAATAAATCCTCCTATGTCCCAGAATCCAGAGACAGCTGTTTGGTGGATCATTAAAGACACTGTGATAAATTAAAATTAATTTTATGATGTGACTATAGAGACAGAGATTGCTTCTAATGACATCATGTCGGGCTGGTGAAACAAATATCATTAGATATTGTTTACTTCAGAACAGTGCCCTTGATCTGGATATATGTGGGGGGAAAGGTTCACAGCCCCACTGTGTGAGTCAGCTGGTGTGGGGCTGCCCCAGTCTGTCCCTTGGGACAGAAGTTGTTTTTCATTCATCCTACTATCCCAGTTTCTCAGTAAATATTTTTGGATAAACAAATGAATGCCTTTGAAATCACACAAAGTTTCTTGGGGACAAGAAACTCAGAAGAAACCTCATCCAGGTCTCCTATCTTCCTGAGAGAGCAGAATTCAGTGGAGAAAAGTTCTAGAATTGTCTGCAGGTCCCAGACACACTTCCAAACTCACTCATGCCTTTGAGCCATCAAAGGCACAATTCCCTCTATCCGGTCACCTCCTACATTTGGTCCAAAACCCCACTTATAACACTCTCTCTGTCGGGGATTCCTGTACTAGAGGTCTGGTGCAGACGCTTGACAGTTTTTGAGTCTATACTGACCAGGTGCACAAGTTCGAGGAAGTCTTAGGGTAGAAAGGAAAGAGGTTCTACCTCTGTAAAGCCAGTAACAAGGTTTGCAGAAATGGGGAAAATGAGTGTGCTGGATCAAAACAGTCCTCCAAGGGGGTTTGCGTCCAGTACATCAGGCATGGGATGTAGACTACAGCTTTGAGAAAGAGGAAAGTGGACAGCAGGTGGCTGAAGACAAGAGTCGGGTTTTAAAGGCTGGAATTTCTCTGCAAACAAACCTAGGAAGGTCTTTCTACCTGGATGTCTCTGAGCATTGTTTAGATGGTTCATGAAAGAGCAGTAACCAGGCTTGGTGCAGCGATTGTACAGAAGGCACGGATTTGGGGAGACTAAAGAATCTGAGCCCAAAGCCCCAACCACCTACACACACACCGCATCACCAACAAAAACCATTTTAAGCAATTCACTCAGTCTCTCTCAATTTAGTTTTCGCTGTAAAATATTCTCCCTGGCAGCTGGAACTAGATTCCTACGCTGCTTTGCTGGAAGGTGTGAGCAGGCTGGGATCCCCAGGGACACCTCGAGGCCTCCCGGGAGTTCCCTGGGTACCCTAGAGAGAGGAAATTCCCACGCTGGACATTTCCACCTCGCGACTAGTCTCTGGACATCCTTCAGCCCAACCTCTCCAAATGGTTTACGAAACGCTCTACTACCCACGATAATGCATCCTACCATCGGCCTCCTGTTACAAATGGGGAGGCCACGGGACTGGGGTGTAGCTCACGCTTGCCTAGCGTGCGCGAGGCTGAGATCCCCAACAACGAAAACCAGGAGGTGGGCGGAGCCTGGGCGCCGGCTCGCCAGAGTCACCCGGTGGGAACCAGCTAGTCGGCAGCCTACCCAGCCGAGCGCCTTGGGCTCTGCGTGCTCCTGGGGGCGGGGAAAGCGGGAGCGGGGCGGGGCCTGTGCGGATCACGTGACGGCCAGACCGGAAGCGCTCAAACCCGAGACCCCCGGGTGACCGGGTGGGAGCTGCTCACTCCGGTGGGTTGCCTTGTCTGCTACCATGGCCTGGACCAAGTACCAGCTGTTCCTGGCCGGGCTCATGCTCGTCACCGGCTCCATCAACACGCTGTCGGCAAAGTGAGTCTGGGCCCGGCCCGGCGGGGGCCCTGCTGGGCCTGCGCGCGCTTCCCCACCCGCCCTCCGAGTTGTTGCTATGGGTTGGCCCAGTTTATGGACCACCCAAGGGGGCAAGGCTCGGGGTCACATCTCGTCTCCGCGTCTCAGTTTCCTCATCTTAAAACCGGAGTTTGGACCAGTTCCTCTCCGCTGCTTCCCAGGGCTGTGGTCGGAGCCGGAGCCGGAGCCCGAGCCCGAGCCCGAGTCCGAGTCCGAGTCCGAGTCCGAGTCCGAGCACCGCCCTCCAGGAGCTGGGGGCCTGCGGAGGAGGCTCCAGGACTTGGGCACGCGAGTTATTGTCGTGGCAGGTCAGGCCGAGTGACTAATGAGAGTGAAGGTTGAGGCAGCAGAGAAGTGGGTGTCCACCGGCCGCTAGTGGAGGAAGGATTCGAGCTGCACCTTGACTTTTAGGTGGGGTTCTGTGTGACTTGGAGGCGGGGAACAGAAAGTCCAGATCCAACACCAAATGCTTAGGCTGGATTTTTACCCCATAATCAGAGATGGACTGTTGAGCTGCGAAAAGGCATGTTGAAAGTGGTATGATAGAAAAATGAATGAAGTGATATGATTAACCTGGGGGTCAATTGAAGATTGTTTGGGGCAGGGAATACTATTCTATGGCTGCTGCTACGAGACAAGGAGATGATAGTGAGGCAGGAAAGAAAGGGGCAGGTGGTAGAGACCAGTGCAGAATGAAGCCATAGGATCAAGGGTTTCTGCCTGGAAGGAAGATAAGTGTTCTTAATCCAGACAGGGAGGGCAGGTGGGCATTTCAGCTGTGGTACTCTCTCAGGAGTTTGGGGACTGAGAGCACAGGGTCACCACGAAGCTGAGGAGTCAGCATAGCTTCCTCTCTGTCATAGGCAGAAAAGCCATTCCTTCCCGTGGTAGCCACTTTCTCTGCCCCACTGCAGGGCAGGGCCTTCCTTCTCCTTTCTGCTCACCATCTAAAAGCCCCAATACATGGGGCTTGGCCTTTGCTTGAACTGATTCCAGTTCAGTTCAGCTGTTCCTGGCCAGGATCATGCACTGTACATGAAGAACAGTGGACAGTGGTCCTCTCCCAGTCAGACCTCACTTCCACCTGGGCCCTGCCAGGCTCCAGAGCCAGGAGCATCAATGTAGCAATTCCCAATGGAAGCTTTCCTGCCCTCTGAGATGTGCTCCAAGTCCTCTGGGTTTTCTGTTGGGTTCCACACTTTGAGAAACTGGCTGTGAGCCTTCTGAGGGCATGACTGTTTCTTAATAATTGCTGAGACATTTGTATCTCACATACTTCATTAGTGCCGCAAGGTGTTTCAGAAGAGAACCTGGGAGAGCAATATTCACTTCTGTCAGAGGAGTATAAGTTACCTGCAGTGTAGGAGGGAAAGAGGCCAAGAAAAGGTCCCCGCCTTTGAAATGCTCACAATCTGAGATGGAGACACATGGCAGTACAGTATCCCCCTCTTCTGCTGAAAGATGGCATACTTCTGTCTCTCTAGTTCATCTCTGACCAACTATTGTCTTATGGTAAACTTCTGGCCTCCTGGGCACTGCAACCTCCTGGAGTTTACACCTCTGAGGTGTAAAGGGCCCCAGCCTGAGGACTCCCCTGTCCGTAGCTGACATAACAGAACAAGACTTCCATCCAGCTGTTAGACCATCCAAAGCCTCACTCAAGTGCTCAGAAAGTTGCTATAAGTCTTTCATGGCTGCTGTCCCCAAGGAGAGTATAAATGGCCATTATGCTGACTTGGCTTCTTCTTTAAAAGCTCCACACTGGTCAGGTAGGGAGACCCAGGGGATCCTCAGTCCCTTGGAGGCTACCTGAGAGACAGGAAGGAGGCTCCCAAGTCTGTTATAGGACGAAGCCTTTTGTCTTGCCTCTGCCCTATAACCTGGTGTGGGGCCTCTCAGGAGTCTCTACCCTGAAACTGGCCCCAGAGTTGGAACTTAAATAGTATTTAAGGCCAGACTGTGAGATGGATGCTCTTAGAAAGAATGAGGAAGAAGAGCAGCTTGTACTCCCTGGTGTGAATTATTGATACAAAATCACATTTCCATCAGGTGCAGATCATAGTCAGCATAGCCAGCGAGTACAAAGAGTGTACCCAGCCCTGCCAAGTGCCAGGCCCTGCTCTCGTCACCTTTCATGTGATCTGAGTGAATTCTTGTAATCACCCAATGAGGTAGATAAACTTATTATCCCCAATGAAGTAAACTGAGGTACAAAAAGATTAAATTACTTGCCAAGTTCAATTCATCTACCAAGTGGCAGGGTTTATATTTGAGTCAAAGTAGTGTGGCTCTAGAATCCATTCTCTTAACCACCTATGGGTAGAGGGGGTGCAGAGACTGGGGACTTCTCTCATCATTCTGGGGGAGAGAGTGTTTAGAATGTTAGAAATCATCTGATCTGATCSCCACGATTTACAGGAGATACCCCAAGAGAAGTTTCAGAGAGAATGGTTTCAAAGATCAGCAGAAGGTGCTGGTGAGGTGGTGAGTCGGACTGGTTGGTATCAGAATGGGAGCTGTCACCCAGGCCTCAGGACTTTAGTCCGGTCCTATTTGTTAGGACTGAAGTGGCTCAAAAGTCCCACCCCTTTAGCTTTCCTCTCTCATCTCCCTAGATAGGGACAGATGAGCCTATATCCAAAGAAGGTATAATCCTGTAAGTGACATCTCCCTCCCAGTCYTCAGGGTGCCTTCCCCTTGTGCCTGGGCAGCAAGTCTCTGCCAACATCCTGATTGCCTTGCCCCTGGTGCCAGGGGACACTCAAGGTCCAGACAGACAGCCTCAGGCAGTCCTTGCAGTGTCTCAGCCTGAAAAAGGAGCTTGGGTGCTTCCCTCCCTGAGTGAGCATGTGCCACCTGCTGTGCTGTTACCACAGGGCACTCTCCTCTGCCCACTCAGCAAGTTTTGGAAGGCTGCTGGGAGATGTCACGTGCCCTGGGAGGAAAAGCTACCAGTCAGGCGGGCCCTTTGGCCCCTCCCTGGGTGTTGGCAAAGGGCCTCTCTCTGGGAAGTAGCTGCTTCTCCTTCTATGGCTCTTTTCTCATCAGCACCTTCTGCTGATCATCTCCTTGAGACCAAACCCTTTCTGTCTACCTGATCCCATACCATGTAGAGCCCTATTCTGCCTGTCTGAGCTCACACCCATTTCAGAGCCCTGTTCTCCTGAATCTGGCTTAGGATCCACATCTGAAGAGCCCAGGGCCAAGCAAACACTAAGTGAGGTGCAGCTCCTTCCTCAGCTTCTGCAGGCTCTGGGCATGCCCAGCCAGGGAGGGCATGTGGGTCTGAGACTCCTCTATCTCTGGGCCAGGGACCCTGCCTGGTAACACCAGCCTCTATTAGAGAGCAGCATCATTGTCAATTCTGTGACAGCTCCAACTTTGCCCTTGGTACCTGCCCCCACCCTTCATGAACTGGCTTGGGAGAATTGCTTCAGAGAGTTGCAGGGCGAGCTCAAGGAGGCCTCAAGTTGGGAGGGCAGGGTATATAGTGGAATGAGCATGAGGCTTGGAAGCCGTAGGATTAAGATGAGTCATTCAGCCTCTTTGAGGCCTCTCGATCCCTTCATCTGTAAAGTGGACATGAAAATTCCTGATCTGCCTCCTTTCCAGACACTAGGATCTACTGAGGAAAGTTTTTCTTCCATAGAAATGAGAGGGCTCATTGTCATTTATCATCTCCTAAGCCAGGGCCTTCTTCCGGAATACCCTAGAGAGTGGAGAAACCCTGGTTCTTCTGTAGATCTCCCTTCATTAAATCTCTTGGCAAGAGAAAGACGCTGACTCACTGGGCTTGACAAGCTGGGGATGCTGGAAGAAATGGCAGAGGTTCTGCAGGAATGGACACACAATCAGCCAGGGCCAACCACATCAGCCACTTCCTCAGTCTGTGCCTGCCACCCTGACCCGAAGCACTGAGCTATGAGTGTGGGCAGGGCCCAGCAGGGACTGAGTCACCACCAGCAAGGGTTCCCCACTTCCTAGCCTGCCCATCACACTCAGGAACCCCCTAAAAGGAGCCAGCCTCTGCCAGCAGAGGGTGCTTCCTCATGGGGCCTCAGCCTGTCCCCCAGAATAGAGCATCTTCAGAGAATAGAGACCTATCTGCAGGGCTGACCCTCTCCTCACCCCAACAGGGGAACGGGAAGAGTCTAAAGTAAGAAGATCATAGGAGAACTTCAGAGCTTGGGGATGGGCCGTAGACCTGGTGTCATCATTCCTGGGTATTACCCTGACTCAGCACATAATGAGCCCTGTGACCTCAAGCCCTCTCTAGCCCTCAGTTCCTCATGGAGCTGCAGGGGCAGTAGCCTTAGGCCCTTCCAGCTACCACTTCCTCAACGTAGGGTAGGTTCCAGAGCATGGACTCTTCCAGAAGCTTTCAGGCCAGAGCAAAACTGGAACCACACTGACCCCAGCACAAAGGGAGGGGGCTCCTGCTCAGGGAGTGAAGAGGGAGAAGAAACAGAAAATGGTCTGTACTGAATACCTGTCCGGGCGAGGTCTTATAGAACTTATGCTGTTCAGTGCCTTACCCGTTCATCAGTGTTTCCTGATTGTCCCTGAAACCTATCCAGCCTATGCAAGTCAAGACAGCCTTCTATGTAAGCTGCTGCCTCTCCTGAGTGTGAGTTCAAACAGGGTTTGACCTCAGCTCTGCAGACTGTTAACTCTAAGAGCCTGAACTGTTCTCTGCACCTGAGCCTTGGAGTCCCCCTTTAAAATGAGGATCCTTGTGAAGTTTAACCAGGTCAGCCTACAAGAGGTACTTGGCACAGGCCCAGCACAAAATCAGTTTTCAGTGCATGGCCCATCCAACAAAACATCTATGAACATCAACAAACAGCAAAGTGCTCTTCTACCTTTGGAGTCACAGCTGTCATCCCCAGAAACACTGAGGCTAAATTTGGGCTCTCATCTGTGAGATCTGCGGTCCTCCTGAGCCTGAGCAATGAGCCAAA